TGTTTAGTTAAAATTGTTGTGATTGTAATTGGTTTGCAAGTCATACACTCTTCGTCATTTACAAATTCTGGGTTTATGAATGATGACGATGCTCCAGTATCTATTAAAAATTTCAGGGGTCTACCAAATGGGGAGGATATGTTAATATAGGGTAATGTGTGTCCATGTTTGTTAATATCTAAGTATCCCGTTGGTGTGGGTAGGCATTCATATGAAAATTTTCATTATCAACTATTACATTTTCGTATTCCGTTCTAATACCATTATTTTGTTGGTCTTTTAGATCGTTCATGTCATTATCATCATTTTGATGATAAGTGTAGTTTTGTTCGAAGTCATTGTCATGTGTTTGTCCGTGGTAATATCCGTCTAGATCATTATGGTAAGCTTGAGACACATTGACGTTGTTTAGGTACGATGTCTGTCTCGTTTGTGTAGTCATAGGTTTTCTTAAATGACTATAACCAGAACTAACATCCATTGGTTCTGGTGGTGGTAAGGGTTTGGTCGTAAGCTGTTGCTGCCTGAAGTTGCTGAATTTGCTCTGTCCGGACCCATTGTGAGAAAAGGTATTTCCATTAGGTGCTTGAGGTCCCTTTTGTGAAAATGCATTAGTTATTGGATTATATTGATTTCTTCCCTGAGTATTAACCGTGTTTTGGAATCTATTTATATTGTTTTGTGCGTAATGGTGAATTTGTCCGTGTGTAAATCTATGTGTGTTATTCATATTTGGTTGGTAATTACGAGCAGGGGCATAATTCCGTGTATTCTGTCTATACCTTGGTTGGTAGAATGGTTGGTTGTAAGTTAGTCTTCTTGAATATTGTATATTTTGTTCCTGAATGCAGAATGTTAATGCTTCATCTAATGAATCGGGTCTCATAGACCTAATCATTGAGCCAAGGGGTTCTCGGAGGCCTATTAAGAATGCATCTAAGCACATTTTAGCGTTAAATTCGCGCCTCGAGTTTATGACATGTTTGTTAGTTTCATGAATTGATATATTATTATTTATTGCTGCCTGTAGCTCTATAACTGAACCATAAAATTCTTGCACAGTCTGATTAGTTTGTCGTAAATTGTGGAGTTCACGCACAAGGGAGGTTTCACTCCTTTTATCCGAATATTTAAGTATTAGATTCGCTTTAATTACCTCCCAAACTAACGGAGTACCGGATGAATTAAGTACTTCATTAGCTTCTCCCACTATTTTGTTTCTGATGGCTCTAAGCACTACTGTTGCTTGGTTAGAACCATCGATATTCGCTAATATTCTTAAAATCTCTTCAACGTTTTCTAAAAAATCATTTAGTTGCCTTGGATTTCCATTAAATGTTGGTAAATCTTTTACGGCATCTGGAATTTTTAATGTTTCGTATGCTTGAGAGGATTGTGACGGTTGTTGAGATTGTAGCGCCTGAGGGGCACTAATGTCATTAACGGTAGTCATTTCTTGTTGTTCCGGTATTGCAGTTAAGTATCGAATAGAATATGGTCTTGGTCTTAGTCTTCGCATTTAATATAATTACCCTTTTTATTGATTTGAGATATTTTGATTAGCCTTTTTCTTTATAATTGAAATATTTCTTTGCTTATTTCTGTTTTATATTTTATAAAGTAATATAATAGTGATAAATATTATAATTTTCTTAAAATAATTACCCTAGTATTATCATTATAAATAATTTCATTGTAGATTTCCAAGGTTTTTTATCTGCTTCTTTCCTCCGATGTGACCTGTATAAGTTGCTTGTAGATATGGACTGCTTCAGGACTATTTCTTGTTCTTCACTTGTAGTTGTTGTTTGTTGTTTTAATTGTTGCTTGTTTTTTTTTTTTTTTTTTTTTTTTTTTTTTTTTTTTTTTTTAGTTTTTTTTTTGTCGTTTTTGTTACGGTTGTTGTTATTGTTATATGTTATTAACTTTTTAATTGTTATTTTAGTTGATTTTCCTTTTTTTTTTTTTTTGATCTTCACTGTATTGTTATTTGTTTTTGTTAGTTGGTTTTTTTTCTTGTTTTATCTGATCTGATCCACTATGACCGTATTATTTGTTGATATTCCTTCAACGATTTTCATTAAATATTTATTCCAACCAAAAAGATATTAATTCTCTCTGGATGGTTATATTTGTTGATATTCCGTCAACAAAATATTATTTTTGATTTTAAATATATATTTTTATTTAAGAGATATTCCTTCTCTTCTTATAGTAAATTGTTGATATTCCTTCAACAAAATACTATATTGTATTGGCACTTGATTTTCTCGGTTGTACGGACGTAGGTTCTTTTTTTTTCCGATTGTTGGCGCACGATTTTTCTCCTTAAGGATTACTTGATATACCGTCAAGCCTAATTAATTTAATATATTTTTTCTTCACCAAATTTTTCTTAAAAAAAAATTTTTATGTCCTTTAAAGGATAGTTCACTGTTTTTTCCACAATTAACTTGTCACTGTTTTTTTTTGGTTTTTTTTTTTCTGTTTTAAGGATACATTTATTTAATTATATTTTTTTTCACTTGAGAAAGACCGCACCAACAATGGCCGTACGACTGCGCCAGTTAACTTCCGTACCGCCGAAAAATCAGAAAACAAGAATTATTCTGTTTTAGATGCCAAATACAACTGATGCCTTATTCAAAAAATTCTTATATTTAAGCGATTTTACAATTATTGATTTTTCTTAGAGTTAACAAAGAACAAAGGAACATAAAATCTAGAGCTATCAAGAAAAATACTTAAGCTAAAAATTTGTATTGGGTACAGTAAAAGTAAACATTTCTTTTTGGGTTATTTCCGTCATAGTTTTATTACTAGTGTTGTTATTGTGATGTTGAAGTGGAGAATTATTGCTGACGAAATAATGTCAACAATATTGGTGTTAGCTCTTTGGTGCTTATGACAATGTTGTAACTAATAATGATGTTAATAATAATGATATTAATAATAATGATGTTAATAATAATGATGTTAATAATAATGGTGTTAACAATAATGATGTTTTTAATAAATGAGGTTGTGGTTGAAAATAATGAACTTAATAATAATGTTGTTTATTGGTGGCTGTAGGTAACTCCGGACATGTTGCTTAGATCAAAGTTATGTTCGACGATAAAGTGATGATACACGATGATATGTGTTCGATATTAGTTCGATTTTATAGAAACTTTGACACCTGGTCCAAACTAAATGTGAACATATATAATAATCGAAATAATACTTTATACAATTTTAGTTTCACACAGAACTTGAATTTCTAAATTCCGGGTTTTCGGGGGCTCGGAGGTTCGCTTTGAATCAAACCTTACGTTTGCAATTAGTTTTTTTTAGCTTACTGGTACTCCAGAGGTTATGTATATGTCATTATTTTTGTCATACAGGTGATTTCTAAATTCCGGGTTTTCGGGGGCCCGTTGGCTCACTTTGAATCAAACCTTATGTTTGCAATTTATGGTTTAAATAATTTTGGCGTTTAAAAATGATCGAATTTTTCTCCGACAAAGGCACACAAAAATTTCTTAGACATTTTTATTTTGAATGCTTCTCAATTTTTAAAATATTCCCAACATTAGCATATTTTCTAAAACAAACAAAAATATTTATTTGGGTGTGGATAATTTTGATTATTTTATTGAACATTTCTATGGTAAACCAGTTCGAAAGTAAAAATTAGAAACATGTGTTCTAATTAAAAATATACTAGAAATTCTATATATATTCATATACGCTACAACAATGTATGTTGGGGGTATTATAAGTATGATTGGGCCATAAATTATGTTACACCTCGAAATATTGGTTCTGCACATAGAAATGTATGTACGGATCTTCCAATCTCGCAGAGGTGAATCGATCCAGCTACATATGTCCGTCTGTCTATGTTAATTTCACAATTATGGCCCGTTCGTCACAACATTCAGCATGGAAGTGGGGTTACGGTAAGAATAGACGCATATTGTTTTTGGAGATGGTCGCAAAATATTTTGAGATTAAATTGCCAAATGCAGAAAAAATCCTGATTTTGTAGTTGCACTGCAGATCGCAATTATAGACCAATCGATGGAATTTAGCATGTGCTTAGAGTAGAGGAATGTCCAGAAGCCTAAACATTTTTTGGTCATCGGATAATATTTTGCGGTTAAAATATACCATAATTTTTCTGGAAAAAAATTACGATTCGCAAAGCTGGAACAAAAGCGGATGATCCTTTCTCTTTCAGTGCAGTACATTTTTTATAAATTTGTGGGGAGGTATGAGAAGGAATGGACCGATATTGTGCATCTTCGAACTCGATTTAAGTTTGAAAATAATATTATGATGTTCCAAGTTTGGACCAAATCGGACACTCGCTTCGAGAGTTATCGTGCGCATCATCCTGAAACGGATTTAGCTCAAAAAAAACTAGGGTATAAAACCGTTATTGCGATGAGGCACGTTTTGGTCGTATCAAATGATATATACCCTCTCTAGCAATATGGCTGAAGATATACAAATATCTAGAAATTGTACATGTCGGAGCCCCCGCTCCCTGACAACGTAAGTGGTGCGATGTAGTAATCTTCGCTTATGGATCTCGTGATACTTCAAAGATTGACTGTTGTAATAGCCACCATCACCTTCACTTCAACCAACCTTCTGGCTTTCAAGGGTAGTTCTTTGACTCTGCGCTTAGAAATGTTAGACCGTCATGGCTCAGCTATGAAATTTCTGTGGTTTTTGTTCCTTGATCAAGTTTTTTAATTCCAGTTGGACCGAAGCACTGCTATGCAATTTTTTTTTTCACTTCCGACACAAAGCGAGTGGCTGCGGCTGCTCGAATATCAGAAAAATTGGTCTGTTCTTTGAATTTGGTTCCCCGTATATGTTTTGTGTGCCAATTTAGAGTTTTAGCTTAATATTGTTTTCGAAATGATGGAACGAATAATTGGTTTGATCATACCAAGTTCTCTCTGTTTTTTTATTTTATTTACGCAGGTCCAATTAAAAATCCACTGTTATTGCTGCATTTAATATTTATTAATTTAAAAGTTTCTAATACCCTTCACATGGTTTCTATCAATGTCTTCATACTTAATGCCATAACCTTACTTTATTCTGAGTGAGTGATGGCAGGTAACTGTGGAATATGTTCACCAGTAGGTTGGAAGCCGTTTTCATCAGCAACATAGTTGACGGTATAAACTTTACCATCATGTTCATCCTTCCAGGTATAGGTGCCGTGGACAACAATAGCTGGATGTTCCGAATCAAAATCCTTTACTTTGCCGTCTTCATGGCGAGATGTGCCATCGCTGGTTTCCATACTGAAAAGAGTAAACATCTTTTATTAAAAAATTATCCGCAAATTACGAATTTCCCTACTAAACTTACTCAAAACTATAGCCATCATGTTCTACATGGGAGTCCAATTTTAAAATTTCCGCATGCTCATCTGGTGCTGGAGCTGCCATGGCAATGGCCAGCACTGTGACAAGGACAATAACAAGTTTCATTTTGAGAATCTGACTTAGATAACCGTTTTAATATTCAATACGAAATGCATATGGATTGTTTTTAATCCGTTACTTTTATATGAACTGCGACAGCATAATATCGTGACTTATTTACGATCATGCTCGTTTGATTAATTTGCGAATCTACAACTTGTTTCGGTAAATGAAAAAAAAAATGGGAATGTTCTACGACTTTTTAAAATTTAAAAATAAATGGTAACGCAATATTGCTAATAAGTCAATTAATGTTCAATAATAAATTACCAACAACAAAGCCAAAGCCGACGAAGATGTCATACATTGAGGAGTCCTGCCATAGTACCAATTTATGTCTTCATTTTGCTAAAGATCTTGAAGAGAAATTGGTGTATAAGCAAAGTTGGGAGAGCAGTATTATTTTTGATTGTACATTTCTAAATTAAGGATGAATTAAATTAATTACATTCGATCACATCGCATCAAGAGTAAAAAGAGTGCTGCATGTTTGCAAGGAATCCGTCATGGATCCCCTTAAATGTCAGCAAAATGTCACATTGCCTAATAATGGTTTCACTAAGTAACCTAAATAAGTAGCAATCCCTTATTTTAACATAGACATGCCAACGGAAGTACGTATCTATCAAACCGCAACCAAAGGTTGTTACTAAAACAGTTTCCTTTTTTTAAACACTTGTGTCAAATTTCACTACGCTGTATTTTTATATCCTTACCACAGTGCGGTGTTTTTGTGTATTTTTTATATAGGCATGAAGAAGCGAGATAGACCCATAATTCCTTTTGTCGATTTATTTATTTATTCCTCTGAGTCAATTTATGAATGCCCGTCAATCCGATTATCCGTGTACATTTTGCAAGCAAATTAAAGATTCTTGTTATCCCTGTTGGAATTTGTGATAATCGATCCAAATTTAGCACCCACAATATATCTTTAAGTAATTCACGTTTATGGTACACGGAATGCATGATATATGCCAAAATAAGTTGACATTTAGCACATGAGATCGAATTCAAATTTAGAGTAAGTCTGTCAGGTTTGAAAAACTGGGTTCAGATTTATATGTTGCAATTGATTTACTTTGAACCAACCTCAAAGCGTTAAAAACTTTCCGTTGTCAATAATATTTGGTACAAGACATTATATGCATGCTGATATAAAACAAGTAAGCAAAGGCTATATCATAACAACATAGTTACCAATGTTAACTGATTTAAACCGCTTAGGCAATATGCAAATTTTTGGAAAGTTCTATGGAATAGAATTTTGAAACCAAAATTTCGAATTTTTAAAATTTTTATTTGTTATTCGTTTTTGTAATTGTGGTTTTTATATTAACATGTCTCTGCCATATGCTGTTACTCTATGTATTGTAGACACAAACCATTTCCTCAAAATGCATTTTGTCTAGTCTTTACCATTTTAGATCTTTGTATCCAAATCCATTTTGGAAGATTTCGTTTTTGAAACAGTATCGAAGAGCCCTGTCCAGATGTTATCCTTAGGTTTTTGACTCGAAGAATTTGGCAAATATTTACCACTCCGTCGTGTTGTATTCAGAACAATTTCATACGAAAGTTGTGGTCCATTCTATAGTTAAATATAATCCAATAGTTTTCTAAAATTCTAGACTTCTTCCCTGTCCCTAACCCTCTTCTGATGCGAAATTCCGTGTCGATTAGTTTTCAACTGTGGCATATAGAGCGACTACAAAATTAGAAAAATTTAAAATTTTTAGTCATTTGAATCCCTAAATGTACATCTTAAGAACAATAGGCTTTAATTTTGACCCTAACGCTACCCCATGCAATTTCGTGAAGATCGGACGATAAGTGCGACATGCATATAAAACCCTTAAAGCGTAGTGTTGAGAAGTGTAAAAATTAGAAAATTTTCATTTCAGAATTGTAAGTCAAATTTAAAAAATCGCATGCGATAAAAACTGTGAGGAAAATTGAAAAAATGGAACAAAATATGTTCATTCATTTGGTATATTTTTCCGCGATTTTCTTAGATTTTATCCTTTTCTGGCACAAGACCATCCCTTATTGAGGGAATAGTGAATATGGGACCAGTGGTTCTTGATTAATAAGCAGAATAAATAAGATCTATTTCTTTTACATATATATTGTTCCTATTTTGTTATATATCCGATTCCTTGGCTATCAACATCACTTTAATGGTCAGGAGTGACCTATTAATGTATTTGTGATTTGGCTGGGGTAAAAAATATTCGCGGTTTAGTGGAAATATTCTTATTTTAGGGTCTATTTTACGCGCTAAGTATTGTCCGATGACCGCCCAAATTGGTAGGCTTCTGCCCAATCTTAAATTTTAACTCCATGTAAATTTCCGCGACGATTGGTTCATAATTGTGGCCTATTGAGCAACTGTAAAATCAGGAAAAATTCTATTTTTGGTCCATTTCAACCCCTTAATATACAATTGCTCTTCTGAGCCTAACCCTATCCTTGTGAAAATTTTCGTGAAGATCGGACGATAATTGCAATCTATACATAATAACCCCAGCCCGTGTTGTAAGGTGAAAAAATTTACAAAATGTACACTTCAATTTATAAGTCAAATTGAAAAATAAAAAATATGAAAAAAACAAGTAAGCAAAGCAAAAATATTGCAAGATTTCGCTTTTGAAATTAGGATTTTTGACAAGGGAAATTTGCCCAACATTTATTCACTCCGTCGGGCTGTTAGTTGTTGCAGTCCACTTTACAATACAATCCAATGGTCATCCAAAATGCTAGAATTCTTCCTTGTCCTTAACGCTCTTCAGAGCCGTGTCGAGTGGCTTCAAATGTGTGATCGGAAAAACATTTCTGTTTTTGGTTAATTTGAACCCCTAAATATTTTGCAATCATCTCCAAAAGCAAGAAGCCCCTCTGTATCTCCAAATTTAGACTCATCTATATGATTTGCTTATCTACAATATTTGGCTCTATTCGTCAACGAAATCAGCATAAAAAAGCCAGAAGTTCGCCTTTTGTGTATTTCAGAAGATATCGCCTTAGCTTGGTTTCTATTTACGACCTTTATAACGGCTGCAAAATCAAAAACATTTTTAGTTGTTGGTCCATTTCAACCCCTAAATATATTGCGGGCATCTTTGAAAACAATAGGCCTAGCACTTCTGAGCCTAACCCTATTCCTGCGAAAAATTTTCGTGATGATCGGACGACAATTGCAATCTTTATATTAAATTCGCAACCTGTGTTGTAAGCTGAAAAAATATTACAAAATATACTCTTCAATATTATAAGTCAAATTAAAAAAAATTGCATGCGATAAAAAATATGAAAAATATGAAATATGAAAAAAATGTCACAAAATACTACAAAATCTATATTAATACCATTATTGGCATCTTATTACGCGATTTTTTTAGATTTATTTCTTTTATGCCAAGAGGGCATTCTGAATTGACAAAATTTGTCAAAATCGGTCCAGCCATTCTTGAGATATAAGCATTCTAACTAACATCCCCTTCCTTTGTATATACACATTTTATATATTTCGCTATATATAACCGATATATTTACTATCGGCATCTACGTAACGTAACGTAACGTCAGAATTGACCTGTTCGTCTAATTGTGATTTCGCCGGGATTAAAAATATTCGCGGTTTAATGGAAAATTTGACTTTTATTTAACACAAATGTTGTGGCCTATTTCACCCACTAAATATTACCCGATGACCATCAAAATTGGAAGGCTTCTGTCCAGCCTTAAGCTCTAGCCCCATGCTAACTTCCGCTCTGATTGGTCTATAATTGCGACCTGTAGAGCTACTGCAAAATCAGGATTTTTTTCATTCCAACCCCTAAATATCATGCAATCATCTCCAAAAGAAATAGGGTTCTATTCTGACCATAGCCCCACTTCCATTCTAAATTTCGTGAAGATTGGACCATAATTGCGACCTGTAGAGTGATTACAAATTAACATGGACAGACGGACGGACGGACATACATAGCTAGATCGACTCAGCTCGGCGAGATAGGAAGATCCATATATACTTTCCTATGTGGGAAACCAATATTTCGTGGTGTTACATAATTTTTGGCCCAATCAAACTTATAATACCCCCAACACATAGTGTTGTAGGGTATAAAAACTGGAACAAAGTCAAACGCAATAATTTTTACATTTTTTTAATTTTATTGAATGAAAGGAAAAATGTTGGAAATAGCATCAAATTGTAGAATAAGTTTAGATTTGTTCACCTATGGCACGAATTATGGTCTTCAAATGGCCAATGAAACCGTCACACGCTCCTCGAATGTTGCTCTGCCGTATTTTGGCCCATTCCCGGAGAAACGCTTGCTTGAGGTGATCGACACTTTGGTATTTTTAATGCCAGCCTTTCTTTCCAAAATTCTCAAGACACAATAGTCCGGAGATTTTGGTGGCCGGCATTTATTCTGATGGCCCACACCATCACCATGGCCTGCGCTTGAGTTCTGGTGGCCACCCGAAGGTGCACATTTTCAGCTGACCTCTTTGGCAAGTAAACACGTTCATTTTGTTTGTTTACAAACTGCTGGACAACGAATATTTTCTTATCGGAGAAAACCAAATTTGGCAGCTCACAACTTTCGGCTAAGGAAAGCAACTCTTTAGCTCTTTTGGGTCTATTTTCTTTAAGTTGCGGTGTAAGTTCGTTCACTTTTTGAAATTTCAATGGCTTTACCCCGAGCTCATTTTTCAATATTTGCCGAATGGAATATTGCGCTATTTTCAGCTCCCGAGCCATTTTTCGGCCACTGCGACGCGGGTTTCGATCAAGTGGCTTCTTTATTTTCGAATCATTTCTGCTGATGTTGCTGTTTTCTTCCCTCCACTTTCTTGACGTCGGGCTACGCTACCAGTATCACGGCAACTAGCGATGGTACGAGACATAAATGGTTTATTCACATTTTAATGCTGGAGTGCTCTAACGATAGCCACTTGTAGTTTTCCAGCCAAAAATAAATAACTATCACGCTTGAATTCCATCACGAATAACTTTTTTTCTGGAAAATTCTCACCAAAATTCTTTTTTACGCTTGAAAAC